CGCATGTAATCTGCCCGTTAGACGGATAAACGGCCTCGTTCTCTTGTTACCTGTGTCCAAGTTGCTACGTATACGTGTCTAACTTGTGCTGATTTGCGTTAGATTAGAAATCGCATATAGAATTTAATTCCCAACCGAGAGAGAGAGAGAGAGAGAGAGAGAGAGAGAGAGAGAGAGAGAGAGATGACCTTTGACCTCCCATCTAACAAAAATAATCTCGTTTACTTAATTCTTCAAAATATTATTCTTAATTGTATCTCCTATCATCATTTATTATCATTCATTTATCATATTATTTTCTCTCATTGTTTTTATACATATTTATTGTATATATATACATATATATATATATATATATATATATATATATTTATGTATTGACATTGTTGCACAAAGAATACTCAATATTTTTCTCAACTTGTTTTAATGAGATTCAAGTCACGTTTACAGCACCTTTTAACTTATTAAGGTCGATCAAATGACTTTCAACTCGTGGTTACGCTATCGTATCAATGTCGAGTTTGAATACAAAACGAAGTACTTATGTATGTAAATATTTGCGAACTACTCTAAGATCGATCAGAACGACGAGTTCTCAATTCGTTTAAACGAAACGCGCGTATTTATTAACCTTTTTTCTTTTTTCTTTTTTTTTTTTTTTGCTTCTTCACCTATTTTTATCGTTAAGCAAATTTCATTTTGATATTTGAAAAAAATATACTTATCTTCGAAAATTAAGAAATAAATATGATAAAGTAGATCGTATTGATAAATTTGAAAGAAGATAAGAATATTACACACAACGAATGCATCTTATTTAATTCTAATCGATGATTGATTATCACTAATCAATATTTTATGTTTTGTACGTTTTAATTAGACGAACAAGAAAAATATAATTTTGTATTCATACATACTTACATATAGATTTGTGTTTAAATGATAAAAAATATTTTTTATCTTATGATTTTTGTTTTTCTTTTTTTTTTTTTTTTTAACTTATAAAAACATATTTACTTATGAATTTATGTTTAAAAGAATAGAAAATATTTATTTATACGGTTTATGACTTTTAACTTGGAACTTGTAACAAAATTTGTAATATTTCCATATTCTAGTTCTATTTGATAAACTTTGCGTATGGAGATTAATGAGATCGAAAGTTCAAGAATTATTTTGCAAATATCAATAATTTTCTATCTTTATTCGGTCCATGGAAATTTCCGTTTAAAGGTTGCAAATGGTCAACATATATATACATATACATATACATATATATATATATATATATATATATATATATATATATATATATCGATAATATTTATAAAAAACAATTTCTCATATGATTAGCAGTACATAATACTTATTGAAAAGCAACAGTTCAAGATTCTAAAGTACGAAATGATAACATATGCAATAATGAATTTTCAAACGTCATTTTATTTACATTATTAAATAGAGAAACACATAGACCGATTGAATTTTTTAATACGTAATATCGCATACTTAAAAGAAAAAAAAAAAAAAAAAAAAAAAAAAAAACACCTAGAGAACACTACCGATGATCATTCGAATATAAATATATTCGAAGATAATTCGTAGTAAATATGTACGTAATAATGATTGAACGATCAATTAAGAAAGTAGAGAAATGTTATTAGTAAAAAAGATAAAACAATAAATAAATAAATAAATATAATAATAATATTATAAGAATTGTCAGCTTTTTCTTTTTTTTTTCTTTCTTTTTTCGTTTGGATCGAAGCCAATACCGATCGTTTATTATGAAAAAAGTATATGTGTGATTATGTATGAATAATCGAAGGATAAAAACGTTCGACCATGAGAGATTTGCATTAGTTCGCAATTTTCCGAGAAGATCAAGACATTCTTTATTTTATTCTTCAACATATATGGCGTCTTTCGCTCTTAAGAGGAACGATAACTCCATAATTAAATTCCAAGAGGAATTCAAATTTAAGCCATGGTTTCTTACGTACGTAAGAAATTAATTCCGATTATTAAATAAAGATCATTGGAATTCTTTTGAAAAAAAAAAGTATAAAAACAAATAAAAGAGAAAAGAGATTAAATTTGACCTCGTGACAGTTGATAAAAAATGTTTTTTTAAAACGATATCTACCAATTCTTTTTCTTTATGTTCCTTTCTTTTTTTTTTTTTTCTTGATCAATACACAAAATGTCGAATGTAAATCCGAATATATCTCACGATTGGATTGTAGCTATTAATATAATAAATAAATAATAAATATAATAAATATGATATTAAATAGTTAATACAATAATAATAAAAAAAAAAAAATATTCGTAGAAAATTGGTATTCGTGATATAAAAACTTTTTAACATGAGTGAAATTGGTAGGAGAGATTTCAAGGTCTTCGTAATTATTGTTTGATATTTTTAAACGAAAGCACTTATTTTTATTATCGCGAAATAACAAAACGAAATATAAAAAATATTGATAAACTTTAAGTAGTTTAAGAATAAATGATAAATTTTTATCAACTTATAGAATTAGAAAAATACATTCCATATATTTTGTTAGGTATTTTAATCCAGCTATTAACAATTTAACAATTATTTAAAAGGATAAAATCATATTGCCGTGATACGGTAGCTAATTTGTAACGCAGATAGTGTTCTTAAGGAAAAGAATAAGAAAAAATATAAATGTACGAAAATAGATTATAATCGGTACGTTCGCGTAATTGTAAAGTATAAAGCAAAAAAGGAAATCATAAACATCCGTTTTCATTTTCAATATTATTTATATATCACTATCGTCATTATCGTAGTGCGACGTGTATAATCTTTTAAATACAAAATGCGTATAATATTTTTCTATTCTTTTTTTTTTTTTTTTTTCCTTTTTTTCTATCAATTTTACGTAAAATAAATAAAGTGCGTTAAATGTCAAAATGTACTTATTTAAACGAGATTATAAAGCTTTTCTTTTTTATCGCATTGATCTATTCGCCAGAATATCAAACAGAGTACTCCTAGTTCTTTTTTTTTTTCTTTTTTTTTCCGTGTCAGAAATGAATGATAATATTTTTATAGAATTTGAATGACAGCGTTTCGAATATAGATCTGCATAATTAAATATTGAATTATGTCTAATAACATTGCCGAGTAAAACGTTCAAAGGGAAGTTTACACGAATAATAAAACTGACAAAAGTTTATCTTCCCGCGTATATTAATTATGAACAAGTGGATTCAATTGAACGTAACCGTGGCAATAATACATCACTGAATCTTTCAACTGTTTACAAGTTATAAATCATTAATGCTCCGTAATCGCGATTTAGTTGAAAGTAAAAAATTTGAAAAATTTTAATTTAATCGTTGACGACAAATAAAAAATTATTACACCTACGTATCTATCTAAATAAGACATGATTCATGTACAAGGCACATCCGAAATAATTATTTCATTAAATATGATCGTCTTTCATCGAAAAGATCATTTTCATTATTAATTTCGTCAAAAAAAAAAAAAAAAAAAAAAAAAAAAACAAGAAAAAAAACAGCACACAGATATAAATTTGACATGAAAAATTAAAAACAGGAAGCTCATTATTTCTCGAATTTTTATTAAATCATCTTACGAATAAACGAATAATGAATTCCTAGACGAATAAATGAATTTAAATTAATATCTAAGATCAAGATCGAGATTGCAGACATATGATCTTTATCGGTCGCAAGTCAACAAGAATCATTTGGTTACATTCTATAGGTCAGTTTTAAATTAACATGACTAGCACGCATATTGTTTACATGAAAGAAGAACGAGTTTACATGAAAGAACAAACACATGGGATTCTAATATCACGATTTATAGGATCGACATGGGATATCACAAACATGTTCTTCCTACTTTTAATATTTTCTACATTGATGTTTCGTTTCGTTCACTTTTAAATTCACTTTTAAAATGATAATTTTTTTTTCTTTTTTTTTTTTTTTTTTTTTTGTTTTTTTTTTTTTTTTTTTTTTTTAAGAATAACATTTCATAGAAAGAATCCAAGCATTATAAAATTATTTTCCATGCGACGCAATGCGATGACGTATGTCGTATATAAATATTCTCACGATAATCAATTGGTATAAACATAGACGATTGAGTAATGTTCGATATTTCCATACATTTCTTTTTTTTTTCTTTTTTTTTTCTTTTTTTCCTTTTCTGTATCTCTTGGTATGAAAACAAGTTAGCATACGTAATAGGATAGATAGAGAAAAATAATCGGTGAAACCCATTGAACTGTCCTTGTAAACGTGCTTTTCCTTTCGAATCGTTAACATGAAAATATATATATATACGTGCTTACGTATACATTGTATTATTTCTGAAGTAACAACAAATCCATCGATAAAAGTAACTTATTTCTAAAGTGCATTATATATTTATATACATACATATATATATATATATATATATATTATTTAAAATTTAACGAATTTAATGATAGAAAGTAAATCACTCACCTGTTCGTAAATTATTTGACGTCATTATGGAAATCTTCGAGACGATAAATTTCGTTGGAAACCAAAAAGAAATCCAGAAGTAGGAAATATGTAGCAAATTGTTGAAACGCGCGAAACAAAACAAAAAAAAAATAATAAGGATGCACTTAAGAAAATAGAGAAAGACAGAGAGAGAGAGAGAGAGAGAGAGAGAGAGAGAGAGAGAGAAAGAGAGAGAGAGAAAGAGACAGAGAGATGAAGAGAGTAACACTGAGACAGTAAGAAAAGACGACGAAGAATTGTATCGAAGAGAAAGAGAGAATGAGTGAGCGAGTGAGTGAGTGAAGGAGAGAGGGGAGAATTGAAAACAAAGAGAAAGGGAAAAGGAGAAGGCAGAAGAGCAAACAAAGAGGATAACCGAACAGTTCGTCGGTCGGCCTGTTTATGAACGAGTACGATCGTAGAGAATTTTATCGCGTCTGACCACGTGGTATATCTCTCTCTCTATCTCTCTCGAATAGAGAGAGAGAGAGAGAGTGGGAGAGATATATATATGTATATATATATATATAGTTTCGATACGATGACAGCGACAATGTAGAGAATTAATCCGAGTTTTCACCATCCTGTGTGTATAAGTATAAAAATAATGATAACCGAGTGAGTCAGCTTTCTAATTTTCTTTTTTCTTTTATTGATTCTTTTAATTACTTCTCTCTCTCTCTCTCTCTCTCTCTCTCTCT